ATTTTTGGAATTTCCGAATTTTTGAATTCCTTGAATCTTTGAATTTCTTAAAAATTGAAAATCTAATTAACGTGGATTTTTTTTAACGAAAATTGAATTTTCCACGTGGAACAATTCAAAAATAGTGAATTTAAAAAATTCTAAAATTTGAAATTTTGAAATATCTGTAATTCTTAATTCTAAAATTCTGAAATTCAAATATTCCAAAATTCTAAGATTTTAAATGAGCTACGATTTCTCAATTAATCATAAAAATTCTAAAATCCAATTTTCCAAAATTCAAAAATAATGAAATTTAAAAATTCTAAAATTTGATGTCAAAAATGCTACGGTCTTTAAGAGAAGAAGGGGGCTGAAATTTCGGAAATTCTAAAATTTATATCATCAGTCAATATAATTTTATAGACAATCCATTGCCGAGAGAGTTTCCAGTGGAGCCGTTGTTCGGCGATGAACATTTAGACCCACGAGCATGGAACGGCGTAGTACCTAATGTCCACCCAGCACCAGAAGAACCACACTCACTGCAACTGGAACCTTTGATTTTTGGAGACGTTGGAGAAAAATTAGGAGAGCTGGCGGAGACCGTAACCTGTCCAATATGTACAAACATATTGACATCTCCAGTTACAACTTCGTGCAGACACACAGTGTGCAACCAATGCTTGGCTTCTCACGCTGCCTATCAGCTAGCAGTTGGAGTCAACAATACCTGTCCGTGTTGTAGGACCTCGATCCTGAACAACTCTGTCAATCCATCACCAAAAACAGAAGCATTAATCAATGCAATATTGGTGGTGGGACACATACTTAGACACTGAACGAGTCAACCTGTTCATTTGCTTTCAATCCAACTCGTCTAAATATCGAAACCTGAACTTTTAAAAACAACTCTGCTAAAGTCTTTTACTGCTCCGATGGATCGTCAAATGATGAGACGTCGCCAAGTGCGCCGACCCCGACGCCAAGTCCGCCAAGCCAGAAGTTGTTCCCGCTCCTACTCCCCAGTTCCGGATGTCATGGCAGATCACGGATTGAACAGAAGACGTAAGTCGTAATACACAAATTTTAAAATTTCTGAATTTCTAAAAGAATTTGAAACTCTAAATTTCTAAAATTATGAAAATCTCAAATTATAAAACCTCGAAGTTCTAAAATTCTGAAAACTAAATTAACTGAGAAATCATAGTTTTCTAATTATAGTTTGGAATTTTCAAAATTTTTGGAATTTTCAATTTTTTGGAATTTTCGAATTTTTTGGAATTTCTGAATTTTTGAATTTCTTGAATTTTTGAATTTCTTAAAAATTGAATATCTAATTAACGTTTTTTTTGAACGAAAATTGAATTTGGCTGAATTCAAATATAGCCTCCACCCCAATTCAAGTATAGCCCCCAAAATGAACCATAGTAGAGCCCCCCACCTCCAACAATCTAGACACTTGCAGCAGTTCAAAATAAGCCCCCACCCCCCACTTTTGCGTAGTTTGTGGTGTGTGAAGGGTACCGTAACCGTCATGATGCAAATTTTGAGCTTTTTTTAAAAATTTTTCTTTGATTTTTTCGGAATGTGTGTCACCATTTTTCCTTGTTTCTTGGGAACTTTTTCCGAACAATACTTTTCAGCTATCTTAACAATACTTTAGCTATAACAATACTTTTCAGCTATTTCAGCTATTTTCAGCTATCTTTTCAGCTAACAATACTTTTCAGCTATCTTATCAGAACTTCCAAAACCAAAACATTCTAAAACTCAGGCTTAGGCTAAAAAATGGTGGGGACCTATTTTTGAATTGGTGGGGGTCTAAAATTGAATGGGTGGGGGGCTATTTTTGAATTGGTGGGGGGGTCATATTTGAATAAAGTGGGGGGCTCAGATAAGGTTCTATTTTTGAGGGGCTATTTTTGAATGGTTGAGTGCCTTTAAATGAAGAAGGCAGGGAGGGGTGGGGGCCATATTTTAGGAATACCAGGTTATTCAAGAATAGGCCCCCACTTTGTACTGGTGGGGGGGGGGGGGGGGGTCATACTTTAATCAACCAATTCAACTTCAGCCCCCCACACCTCAGTAGAGCCCCCACCCATTTTTGTACTGGTGGGGGGCTCTACTATAGTTGTTTATAAGGTGGGGGGGGGTCATATTGAGGTGGGGGCTATATTTGAATTATAAATTGCCCGCGGTATGTCCTAGGTATCAAGTTCCTGTGACAAAATAGAAGAAAAGCAACAAGAAATGTAACAAAATCGGTTTATTATGAACAAGTTAGAAAGAAACAACAAATAAAAAGCTTAGAATTCAAACAAACTCACTTAAAATCCTTAAAAGAGTCTCTCAAAAACTACGAGCCAAATCCAAGCTCGCAATCACTCAAAAACTAAATTCAAACTGTGCGCGCGCCGAGCGGGATAGCGGAGTGTCGTTGCGTGGGTAGAGGGAACCTAGGTGTCAAATTGTTATGATCTCATTAATTGTTATGACCAACTGATTTGATCTACTATTAAATGCCGTTGTTCGGATTTCAAAAAAAAGTAATTTTGTTTAAAATCTGATTTGTTAAACTAGAATTTCGTTTCTATATTTGTATTGTATTAGTGCAAAAAATGGCTAGCGATTGCGCTCTATTGAACAATGTACATTTGAACCCGTTTCAGGTCAATTGGTTGAAGAAAAAGGTTTCCTCATTTTATATTTTAATAAATTTTTTTGTAAAATCGAATTCGTGGCGGGACCCTTTTGATCTACTCTAGACGAAAATCAAAATCCATTTTGAAATTTTATTGATCTTTCGATACAATTTGATCTCTTTTTTTCTGTAGATTTTTTTGAATTTGCACTAGTCTCAATTTAACAGTTTGACCAATTAAAAAAATACAAGAAATACGAGAATATATGAAATACAGTAATCCTCTTATTTCAGATGCAGCGACGTTGGTCCATACCCCCCTTGCTAACAGCCAACGGATTCTGGATGGAAGTTGCCAGCTCTCATTCTTCTGAAAGTTCGTCGAATATCAGATTGGATAAGGCCAAGAGTCAGTTTAACCGCTATCGGCTTGTTTTGAGAGCCAGACAGATTAGAAAACGGTCGAAATGGGCGCTCCGCATAACCAAGCCAAAATCAAACAAAACAAAAAACATTTCCCAGGAACACGACGACTTCTTCGCCTCCGTTTCACACATCGTCCAGACTCAGAATATCTCCTCTGCTTACACCTGCAACATCATTCTCCGTACTCGCGCCACCATCTGGATCATCTCGGCCGCTGCGCTAGCCGACAGCCCATCAGCTGTCCGTTAGGCCAAAATGCTCTGCGAGGAAATCACCAGGAAAAGACTTGATACGGTAGGCCGGCTACAACACTCCGAAACCCCGGATGCGCGGAAGCTCAAAATTTGGCTTAAAAATACAGGATTTTTTTCTACCGGGCTTGGCGGGACGACCCGGAAATTTAAGTATGCTTGTACCCATTTCATCCACACACCCTCCATTTTAGATCCATTATGATTATCCTACCCCAAGACATGTGATATCGTAAATAAGTTGACCCTTAATTGACCGGCACCTAATTAAGCCGATCCTTAATAGCACCTGACTTTTTTCGGAGTCACCGGTGGGTATCGAACCAATGGGTTTCCACCTGCCGGACACCTTAACCGGGTACGCCAACTGTGCAACTCAGACTAGGGGATCACTTGTCGTTTATACAGCGAGGGGGACGACGAACTGTCGAAATTACTCCGCTAAAAAGTTTAGCTCTGAGGTGCGAAAGGTAGCTATTGGTCTCAGTAGCCTCGCCCCGATAAAACTGGTGGAACCGTAAGAGACACTTGGGATACTGGTCCCAATGCGGCTTTTCGGCGTCTCTTTCTACCTAATGTCAACGACACCCGTAAAAAACAAAGTCTTGGGAAAAAAGTGTTGGTGCGAACACTCACAACAAGTGAACAAGTCTCAACAGTTCTACTAGTATGCGAACAGATACACAGAGTCCCTGAAGAAAATCGAACAGGCAAAAAAAAAGGGAGCAAAAAAAACCTGTGTCGGCGACTGCTATGTATGCGATGTCTGCCGTTTCAACTTCCGCTAAAAAGTTCAGTAGAAGCCTCAGTACAAAAGTTTGAGGTCTCATAACTTTTTTCTCCCTGGAGCAAATGTCACCAAACTTTGTACACATATACTAGGTCAAAATCTGAACAGCTTTTACAAGGAACTTTTTTTTGTATCTCGCACCTCCGGGCTGACCTACTTCGTTAAAAGTTAGTTTTGGATCTAGGTCAAAATCCAGTCAGGAAACATGCCCTCAAAATTTCAGCATAGATTCGCCTTATGGTCTTCTATCGAGTGAACATAGTCACTATATGGGAACGGGCCATTTTTTAGGTCATATATAACATAGGCACTTAGGCGAAATTTTCAAAAAAATCCCAGAGCTCTAAAATTGGTATCATTCAATTTAGGATGCTTGTGTTAGTATGGGAAAAAATATTAGATTTCGAAAAAAATCGATTTGACACCTGATATTCGCATTATAGTGAACTTCTGACACAGCTTGTGAAAAAACCAAAAAAATCCCAGAGCTCTAAAATTGGTATCATTCGACGCAGAATTATTAGTATAGTATGGGAAAAATATTAGATTTGGAAAAAAATCGATTTGACACCTGATATTCGCATTATAGTGCACTTCTGACACAGCTTGTGAAAAAACCAAAAAAATCCCAGAGCTCTAAAATTGGTATCATTCGACGCAGAATTTTTAGTTTAGTATGGGAAAAATATTAGATTTGGAAAAAAATCGATTTGACACCTGATATTCGCATTATAGTGCACTTCTGACACAGCTTGTGAAAAAACCAAAATCGCTCAAAATCTATTTGTGTGTGTGTGTGTATGTGTGTGTGTGTGTGAGGCAGAATTTTTAAAAACTTTTATTACTTATAAAAAAGAAAAGAATCAATACCAAAAATAAATAGAAGAAGAAATAAATACCAAAAAATCAGTTACAACAAGCGAGGGAACGTGGGAAGACTATTCTTCATGTAGATCACACCGTAGAGAGCGTACGCTCCGTACTCGTCGCCGTAGAGTGTGTGGAATCGAGTTCGAGGAACGACGAGGACGTCGTCCTCCGGCGATGATACAATGAGAGCTTAAAAATAACGATTAATCAAGAGCGTGTAATTGTGAAACTCACCGATAGGTGCGTAGCTCTCTCCTCCATCCGGAAAACTGAAGAGATAGTCTGAGGCTGTCGTGAGGTGCGTATCGCTCTCCGGAGTGTCGTTGAGAACAAAAACGACGTCGGCTGGCTCGAATGTGATAGTTCGGTTGCCCGGACTACCACATGTGCATGTATAGGCCGACTGCCTGTCATTGAAACACTTCAATGATTGGCTGATCGCTTTGCCCGCTTCGAAAGGCACTTGGATTGCAGCCATCATCAATCTCGTCGTCGCATCGAAACTGTGCTCGCAGTCGAGACTGGAGCACACATCCGTGGAAACAAGTCCAATCTCGGTGCGAGACACAAACGAGGGGGGGGAGCATCTATAAAGAGTGTTTTCAGATAGACCAAATAGTAACAATTCGTGCTCTTTAACGGTCCTCTAATTCGTTCCCTCATGTTTTTAAAAAACATCAGTTTTAAAAGCAGGTATTGGTAGAGGACATGAGTTTAGCATGGTTTCACTATTCGTGCACTCAACATGTCCTCTACCAAACCCCTCTTTCTATTAAAGAGTGTTTTCAGATGGAAAAAAACTAACTTGGATGATTTGGTGATGAATGTTCACCAGCTGATCATGCCGATCCGGCACCGTTTCAACGAAATGGCGGGTGAGTTCATCGACAGCGGAACCAACGAGAAGTGTGAATACCTCCAAGAGCACATTCACATACACTTGGAGGGGGAGCATAATAGTTAATAGAATAGAGACTTGTGTGACTCAATGAATAGTGATTCAATGAGCACTTCGGGACTCTTCTGAATTTGATGATGTGGAATTTTTTCTGAAACTTCCAGAAGTTTTGCATACGTGGCAGGCGTTCATTGGTCTTGCAATTTTTGCAGTTTTTGAAAACTTCCAGAAGAAGTGACACGTGGCAAAATTACTACAGGAGAAAGACTTAGAAAATTTTATTATACAAAAATGCATCTCACAAAACGGCGGTTTCTTCTGCTGCTCCTCTTCTCGACTATTGTCACCGGACCAGGGGAAGCCACTAGGACTAAGTGAGTACAGGGAAAAAAAGAGGGGGTTGGTAGAGGACATCTTGAGAGCACGAATAGTGTAACCATGCTAAACTCATGTCCTCTACCAATACCTGTTTTTTTTTCTCCATTGATGGTTTGTTAGTTAACATGAGGAAAAAAGAGGGGGTTGGTAGAGGACCTGTTGAGAGCACGACTAGCGGTGTACGAGAGCTTGACCGACGAGAAGCGGGATCTTCGACGCGAGATGTTCAAGGACGTCGAGCTCCTGATCATCGACGAGATCTCGATGGTATCCGCCGAATTGATGGCCAAGATATCGAATCGGCTGAAAGAAATCATGGGCTCTCGCGAAGACTTCGGCGGTCTCAACGTCGTCGTCTTCGGCGATCTCATGCAACTGCCGCCAGTGAGAGCAAGACCGGTGTTTGAAGGTATGTGCTCGTGTTTAGCTCGCCCCGTTCAAGCACATTATAGGTCTGACACCTGTTATCGCTCGACGAGTCTTCGGAGGTTTCGGATGTGGAGTGAACTTGTGGCGTCTGTTCCAGTTCTTCGAACTGACAGTCAACGTGCGCCAGCAAAACGACAAAGACTACGCCGATCTACTCGGTAGTTGGGCTAAGTAATCCGTTAAATTCATAAGCAATGCTTTAGGTCGTATGAGAATGGGCGAGATGACCGACGCCGACGAAGTCGTCCTCCGAACACGGCTGATTGATCCAACCGGCGCCCCGGCGGATCTCCTATTTGCTGCTCAGTACCATCTCAATATGATGGCGGAGGACCCCCTCATCATGACTTTGCTGCCAAGGGTATCTGACGTCTTGACGTTCAACAATCATGTCATTGAGAGGATGGGAGAGGAAAGCTTCTCCATTGACGCCGACGATACACAAGTTCAAAGGAAGAGATCGTCGAAGCCATGGCAGCTCAAACGTAAATTAAGGGGTTCGGCCTTAAGTATATTTAGCATGTTTAGGGTACTCCATCATCGTTACAACAGAGACAGCGACTGCAAAGGACAACAAGGAAGTGCCGACTGTCGCCGCTGGCCTTCGCTCCAACCTCACTCTCTGCATCAACTCTCGCGTCATGCTGAGAAGGACGATTGACAGAGTTAACGGACTCGTCAATGGACTGACAGGAGTGCTCGTCGAGGTCAAGATGATGGACGGAGAAATCTACCAGCTGGGAATCCGGTGAGCTATGCTGATTCTCTCGCACACACGGTTTAGCATTTAGATTCGACCGTACTCCAGGCCAAATTCATTGGGTGCCGAAGACGAGCGCGATGTACGAGCTATCGAGCGGAGAAGTACGATGCCGTCGCCAGTTCCCTGTTGAAGCGGCGTTCGGCGTTACGTGCCACAAAGCTCAAGGATTGACGCTGGCCAACGTTATAATGTCTACCGAGTAAGTACCATTTGGAACAACAAAACAAAATTAGTTTCATTAAGGTCGATGTTCGCCAACGCTCAATTCTACGTCTCGGCTAGCCGCGTCACAGCACTCTCGGGACTACATCTGATCAACTTGGACATGGCCAAAGCGACGGTCGACGAGAAGGCCAAAGAAGAGTACCGTCGCCTGAGAGCTCTGAATTAAGTATTCATGTTTTTTCCTTTTAATAAATTATTGTTGCTTGAAACATCTTTTGCCTATAGTTATATGGTCGAAGACCATTGTAAAAGAAGCGGAATCCGCTAAAAAGTTTAGCTCTGAGGTGCGAAAGGTAGCTATTGGTCTCAGTAGCCTCGCCCCGATAAAACTGGTGGAACCGTAAGAGACACTTGGGATACTGGTCCCAATGCGGCTTTTCGGCGTCTCTTTCTACCTAATGTCAACGACACCCGTAAAACACAAAGTCTTGGGAAAAAAGTGTTGGTGCGAACACTCACAACAAGTGAACAAGTCTCAACAGTTCTACTAGTATGCGAACAGATACACAGAGTCCCTGAAGAAAATCGAACGGGCAAAAAAAAGGGAGCAAAAAAAAACTCACCAAGGATAAGCTCAACAGCAGCACAAGGCAAGGTTTTTATCGCAAAGAGTCTCGCAATACATCGCCAGCGAACGCGACATACAGCAAGACTCTACTCTACTAATGAAAGACATTTAAAGAGGACGCTAATCTCGATAAACATCTATCAATTAGAGAGCAAAATATGAAAGGAACGAGACATTTGGCTACCTTAAGAGAGTCACAGTTACTTCACCTTACTCGAATTACTACGATTTAACTTCACTCAATAAGAGAGAAAAAGATCAAGAGATCAACGGAACGAGGCATTTGGCTACCTTAAGAGAGTCATAGCTACTCTACCTTACTCGAATTGCTACGATTTAACTTCACTCAATAAGAGAGCAACAGGTCAAAAGATCGAAAATTAGATCGCTTCGACAAGCCGAAAAGCCGCATTGGGACCAGTATCCCAAGTGTCTCTTACGGTTCCACCAGTTTTATCGGGGCGAGGCTACTGAGACCAATAGCTACCTTTCGCACCTCAGAGCTAAACTTTTTAGCGGAATAAATAAGTTGACCTTTAATTGACCGGCACCTAATTAAGCCGATCCTTAATAGCACCTGACTTTTTTCGGAGTCACCGGTGGGTATCGAACCAATGGGTTTCCACCTGCCGGACACCTTAACCGGGTACGCCAACTGTGCAACTCAGACTAGGGGATCACTTGTCGTTTATACAGCGAGGGGGACGACGAACTGTCGAAATTACTCTGCGCTCTAGCTCTCTGCGTCTCTATTTATTGCTTGCGGGAGGAGGCGAACCCGGGCGCCGGTGGGGTGTTCGTTTGCCGACCACCGTTTGCCGCTAACCAAAAAGCCAAGTGTGTGCACGGGAGAGGAGGGTGACATGTTGCTTATTTATCATTATCTATCGAGGCGCGAGGGTCAAAATTACAGTACCCTGCGAAATCATCATTTATAGACGCACAAAACAAAACTGTCGTTCGAGTGTCGAAAAGAAAAGAAAAATTTGCGATTTTGATTCCCCTTCAAAAAAATTAATAAAGAAACAAAATTTGATGAACGGGGTGCAAAAAAACGTCGTATAGTCTCAACAGATAGCCTCACAGAAGCGCACGGAACCCTACACCCGAAAACCTACAAAACCTACAGAAAAACCTACGAAAAAATCAGTCACGGTTTTTGGACTTATGCAAAAAAAAAAGGAAAAAAAGGGAAACAAAAAACTCAATCAAAGGATAGTCTCAACAGATCGCAGTATAAGAGGACTGCTCTACTGAATACAACACCTTGACCAAGAGACCAAGTCGTATGCAAGTGATTTAGCGCCCCGACATTGAACCAGAGTGATCTGGCGTTGGCAAGCTTCGCAGAGTTCACTACGAAGCCAAGGCCATACATAGGGCATAAGCTCTCGTGTTGCCACGAGATAGAGATGCCTCCCGACACCGGGAAGCAAGAAATTTTCGCCTTGACAAGGCGAGATTCTAACTTAGAGGCGTTCAGTTATAATCTCTCAAATGGTAGCTTCAGACCATTGATCTGTCGATCAAGTCTATGAACCAAATGTTTGAACCCGCTGTTCCTCTCGTACTAAGCAGGATTACTTTCGCAATAACAAGTCAACAGTAGGGTAAAACTAACCTGTCTCACGACGGTCTAAACCCAGCTCACGTTCCCTATTAGTGGGTGAACAATCCAACGCTTGGCGAATTCTGCTTTCGCATGATAGGAAGAGCCGACATCGAAGGATCAAAAAAGCACGTCGCTATGGAC